CAATCGCAGGGGCTCCAGCGGCTTGGACATGGTTGGAACAAAGATTTGAAGGAAAACAACCAGTTAAAGGTTGTTCGCATGAAACTAGAATTTCTAATTTCTTTTATCCCGGAATTGCGGATACTACTTTAGAATTCTTCCAGTCATTGCGTGAAACTTTTTTGGAAAGTCCTCTTGGTCCGTTTGATGACTCAAAACTTTGATCAAATCAATTAGAAATTGTATAGAACTTGGTTATTGAACTTAGATTGTTTGGTTTTAATATTTATTGGACTTGCTGTAAAATTTTTGATCTATAACCCCTACGTAGTACCAATAGAAATATAGTTGGAAATTGACACATATCGTAGTAATCTCTAGAGAATAATTAATGTTAGCTTAAGAACTAATGGTGTTATAGGAAGAACGTGTCGCAATCACATTTAATAACCGGACACAATGATGGGTTAGTCTTCTCTTGAGTTTCTAGCGACTGTAACATCACCCCACATTCCACTTGAAGAACAGGGTTCTGTTTAAGAAAAGTAATTCCTAGTAATTAATTCATCGTATGTAACATTGAGAAGAGGGAGATTATTTAAAGCTTGATTTCTCTGGATGTCATACTTAGCGTTAGTTTCCGGAAATTGTACCCACTATCCAGTCATGCGGGTGACTGATTTATTTGATCTTGCAAAATTGCTTTCGCCCTGATCATCTATTAATGGCTATGACGCACATCTGGCAATAGTGGGAAACACGTACCGTTTCATGGAATCCGTCAGAACTTGCCAATTGGCCAATATGATGCACCGCCACGCTGGTATCCTTTCATTGGCTGAACTGGATAAAAGTGACGACTTGATTAAATGTAGAATGCACTATACGATTTCATCAAATTATCTGTCAATTCCAGACAATTGAGTTAATATAAAAGTTCCAAGGATGGGGAATGTGCCACATTGGCTCATTGCACATTATGACGGATTTCAATTTCCACTCTTTGCGTTAAATATAGGACTGTATAAGTACGTTATACCTTTTTAAAGTACAAATTACTATTCAGGGCTATTTTTAATGATTGCGTGCGAAACTATAAAAAGGGTTATTACTGACAATACTGGTGCTTGTAGAACTCGTCAATTGGTGGAATCTCATGGAAAATTCGGTATTCCGGTCAGTCAAGTAACGTATTATCGCCCCAAAGCATTGGACAGAATCGATAGGAATAAGCGAATAGACCACTCGGAAGAATCTCGACAACTCTTTATAGTATTGAAAGTAAAATTAAAAAACAGTTTCTCTGTCAATATATTAAGCCCTTCTCGTAAATCCGCAATGATACTCTTGCACATATATCACCGTGAATTGGGACTTCTCAACCAGTGTAAGCTCTTTTTTCTTCCGGTTGTCCTTTGAAAGGGACAAAGAATATCATACTATCTATGAGGTTTGTTCTTCAAAGCTCACTAAGCTCTAATTTCTTTAAATCAATACAAGTAAGCTTAACAACACGGAAAAACGGAGAATTTTAACTTTAAGCCAAATGTTTATCTCAATTATAACTCGTTAAATGAAATCAAAGCCCTCGGTTCAGAATCTAACATTATGCGAGGGGATTAGTGCCGTTTCAAAACGCTCCAATAGTAGGCTTTTCTCGATTATCTCCAGGATCTGGTATTCCGGTATCAAACTATGACTACCCTATCAAATCCAACCTCATAATTCATTTTCTCGTAGTTGCGTAAACAAACAATAGTCAATGGGGTACTTGAACAATGGGGTGGGACCCAAAAACCGTTCCAGATCGAACACGAATCTACCGTTTTCAGGGGACAACGCGTCTTCTTCTGGAATTATAATTGGAGATCAATTTTAAATAATGACATGGATGGCTTATGCCTCAGTTAGGATATGAAATTTCATAAAAAAAATAGAAGGTTTCTTTGTTTAGGGAACTATTCTCGCCAAGATTTTGTTCATGATCTATTGTTCTCCAGAGTTCGACGAGAACAATGAAAAGATTTAATTTTCGCAATTTTTCGTGTTCTTATATTCTACTTGAGAAAATTTGCAGCAAGATGAATTCTGTTCATTCTTTAATATAAATACTCCAACAAATGATCGGATTTTCATGTAACCTGTCCTTTAATAAATATTCAATCATTAAGAAAATGCAGCTTTCTATCTTGTTTTTCATTGCGAATTTCCTTTATATCGCCTCAGCATCCTTAATCGGACCAAACAAACCATCCGAAGATTCATTTTACACCCCACCAAAGGGGTATGAAAACTCCAAACCTGGTGATATTCTCCAATTCAGAAAAGCTCCAGCAAAATTAGCTAGTAGCTTTTTCCCAATTGATGTTAAAAATGTATGGCAAGTCTTGGTTAGATCTGAAGATTCGTTCGGGAATCCAAATGCAATTGTCACGACTATTATGGAACCATATAGTGCTGATCCAATGAAGGTTGTTTCTTATCAAACCTATGAAGATTCTGCCAATATTGATTGTTCTCCTTCCTATGGTTTCCTCTTTGGTGCTAATCCAGGTACTGTTGCTACTCAGACTGATATGCCATTTATTGTCATGGCTTTAAAGAATGGTTATTATGTTGTAAGTCCAGATTATGAAGGTCCAAAGTCCACTTTTACTGCTGGTAGACAATCCGGTCAAGCTGTTCTTAATTCAATTCGTGCCACTTTGAATTCAACCGATATTACTGGTATTGATAAAAATGCCAAAGTTGCCATGTGGGGATATTCAGGAGGGTCATTAGCTTCAAGTTTTGCTGCTGCATTACAACCTGTTTATGCACCTGACTTATCTGAACATTTAATTGGTGTCGCTTTGGGTGGATTTGTTACTAATATTACTGCAACTGCTGAAATCACTGATGGTACCCCATTTGCCGGACTTATTCCAAATGCTTTGATGGGACTTGCGAATGAATATCCCGATTTCGAAAAGAATTTATTTGCTCAAGTAAGTAATCCTATTGCAAGATTAGCTTTGAAGAATGGTAGGGAATATTGTATGATTCCAGCTATGGTTCATTATCTTGGTAGACAATTCTTTGGGGGATTATTGCCAGTTTTCCCTAAAGGATTTGGTATTTTGAATAATGATGTTATTAATAAAGTTATTTATGGAAATTCTATGGTCACTTTAGCTAACGAAATGATGCCACAAATCCCAACGTTTATCTATCATGGTTCTTTAGATAGAATTGTTCCAATTGTAGGAGCAAAAAGTGTATATCAACAATGGTGTAACAACAATATTGCATCCTTGGAATTTGCCGAAGATACTACTGGTGGTCATATTTCGGAAACAATTGTTGGGGCTCCAGCTGCTTGGACTTGGTTAGAACAAAGATTTGAAGGAAAGCAACCAGTTAAAGGTTGTTCGCATGACACTAGAGCTTCTAATTTCCTTTATCCAGGAATTAAACCAACTACTTTACAATTTTTCCAATCATTGTATGAAACTTTCTTGGGTAGTCCTCTCGGTCCATTCGATGACTCAAAATTTTGATGAAATAGATTAGCAATTGTAGAGAGCAGGGCCATTGACCTTACATTTTTTGTTTTTAATATTCATTGTTGTAAAAATTAAACACTTATAGGCGCTACCAATAGAAACTGAGTTAGAATACGTCCGGTTTTTTATAAATTGTATAGCTTTCCTAATAAAAATACTTTCTGATGCACAAATTACTGCTTTGGTGCAATGATTGTTTGTGCGTGTGGAGCTCAATAAAAACGATATTAGTGACAATGCAAGTGCTTGTAGAACTCACCGATTGTTGGACACGTAGGGCAAATTTGGTATTAAGGTTTATCAAGCGACGAATCAAAGCATTGGACAGAATCGATAAGAATAAGCCGATAGACCTCTCGGAAGAATCTCGGCAACACTTTATAGTGTCGAAAGTGAAATACAAAAGGAATTTCTCTGTCAATATATTAAATCCTTCTTGTAATTCCTCAATGAGGCTATCGCACTTAAATCACCTTGAATCGAAAATGTTCAACAAGAATAAACTCCCTTTGCTTTAGATTATCCTTTGAGAGGGACAAAGAATATCATATTAACTTTGCGGCTTGTTCTTCGAAGCTCATTAAGCTCTAATTTCTTTAAGTCAATACTAGTCAACTTAACAACAGAGAAAAACGGAGAAATTGTTCACTCTAAGCCAAATGTTTTTCTCAATTATAACTCGTTAAATGAAATAAGAGCCCTCAGTTCTGAGTCTAACATTATGCAGGAGAATCATAGCCGTTTCCAAACTCTCCAATAGTGGGCTTTTCTCGATTATCACCAGGACATGGTATTCCGTTATCAAACTGTGATTGACCTATTAAATCCAACTTCCTAATTCGTTTCTCGTAGATGCACTTTCGAACAATAGCCGCTGGGGTACGTTGAACAATGAAGTGGGACCTTTAAACCGTTGCAGATCGAACATGAAGCTCCCCCTTTCAGGGTATTACGCTTCTTCTGCTGGAATTATAATCGGAGCTCAACTTGAAATAATGACATGGATGGCGTATGCCTGAGTTAGGATATGAAATTTCATGAAAAATAGAACATCTCTTTGTTTAGGGAACAATTCTCGCCAAGAATTTTGTTCATGATCTTTTGTTCTCCTGAGTTCGACTACAACAATGAAAAGATCTAATTTTCGCAGTTCTTCGTGTTCTTATTGTATTTGAGGAAATTTGCAGTAAGTGAGTTGAGTTCGTTATTTATTATAAATATGCCAGTAAGTGACTGGATTTCATCTAACCAGTCCTTTAGTAAATATTCCATCTCGAAGCAAATGCCATAGCCCGTCATAGTTACCAGTACTCATGGCTACGCCAATCCTTCCACCTTATATCCCAACCTAGCTCATCTTCACAGGGGATTCGCGACCCTTGCCGTTGGTGTTACCTTTACCTTTACTTCGTTCGGATCAATCGAGGAAGCTTGATTTCCAGCTGGGCATACTTTAGAGGTGTGATTACTATTTTAGGTTAATAAACGAGAAATTGGATTAAGGTTATTTAAGTTTCCTACTCCCATCAGGTCATTCAGTTTACTCCGTTTTATAATAGCACTTCTTACATTTTGAGATTATTAATTAATTCAAGTCTGATACATTCCAGAAAGCAGTGTCATCTCCAAGGAACGAGGACAGACGATTTTTCCAATTAGGATAATTAATAATTCAGGATATTTCGTTTTACATTGGAATTGTGAGTTCTCACTTCCACATTGACCCCCTGATGCATCGGAATTGAAGATTAGCGGTGTGAACTAATTAAATTAGAATTTCAAACTTTTAATACTTAAGGACATGGATTTCCCTTCGGGACTGAGTTTTGGACTTGTATAAGAGATTTTTAAGAATAACAGAATTAAGCAACTATTAATCAATCAACAACTTAAGAACGACTTAATAATTATTACAATCAAAGATTAACTTAGCTTAGCTCATCAGAAATTATTTCAGCGTCGGATATCTTCTAATTTAGTCTAAATAATTATATATTAATCTCACTTTCGACCACAAGTCTGACTCCAACTTTCAACTTGTGCTTCCACTGCAACTCCGCTTTAGAATCGTATTTTATCTTTTTAACTTAACTTTACGAGGTTAGTAAACTTTGACAGCGACAATCACCTTACTAACAGAGATGCAATTTTCTATCTTATTTTTCATTGCAAATTTCCTTTATCTCGCCTCAGCATCCTTAATCGGCCCAAACAAACCATCAAAAGACCCATTTTACATGCCTCCAAAAGGGTACGAAAATTCCAAACCCGGTGATATTCTCCAACTCAGAAAGGCTCCAGCAAAATTAGCAAGCAGCTTTTTCCCAATTGAAGTTAAAAATGTATGGCAAATCTTAGTTAGATCTGAAGATTCGTTCGGGAATCCAAATGCAATTGTTACGACTATTATGGAACCATATAGTGCTGATCCAATGAAGGTTGTTTCTTATCAAA